TTATTCAATGGGGTAATGATTGCTCGAGATCTAAAAGAGTCTGTCATGAAATAGCTTGACGCGTCGCCATCGATCAAGACTGGATAAACGAACCTGATCAACGCTATCCCTAGGTCAGAAGCAGTCTTCCTCATTATTGTAATACCAAAGTTCAGCGGCACCTCTGCTACAAGATCGTCTTGATGAGTGCCCTCCCCAATCCCAAGAAGCCATTCGTTGAACCGGACAAGATGCGGGTCTGGCGAATCAGTCGACATACCCAATAGCCAAACGTTCTTGTGTAACTGAAGACGAGTAATGCCAGCCCAAAGATACGAATTGAGCATGCAGAGTTTGCCTTGAACGAACATGTTAGCTCGTTTGACGACCGGCAAAGTTTGTCGGAAGTCACCTCCAAATATAACATTGATGCCACCAAAAGGTTGACTGTTCCTCCTTAGGTCTTGCAAAGTTCTGTCAACAGCCTCAACACAGAACCGATTCTGCATCGAGATTTCGTCCCATACTATGACTTGGACCTGGGCCAGCTCCTGACCAACCTTAGTCTTTGCATCAAAACTACACAATGAGTTCGATTCAATCTTGACAGGTATTTTGAACCGAGCATGAGCTGTCGTTGCGTCTCGGAGGATAAGAGAAGCTATGCCAGACGATGCGACAGTCGCCACGCTTATTCGATGAGAGTTGAAATAAGAAATCAATGTGTTGAGGAGATGGGTTTTGCCAGTTCCGCCAGGTCCATCGATATACATCCTCCATGGATCGGAGGTTCCACATAACCTGATAACTTCATTCGCGATTTTCAACTGATCAGAGTTTAGCGACTGGAATCGATTTAAGAAATCTTCTCCAGCGTCATAAATTGAGAGTCCCCGATCAAGCGTATATGAATGGAATAGAGCCCAGCGGCTTTCGTCAGGTTTTGATAAGCCTACATCTGAAAATGTTTTTTGAAATTTGTTCAACTGTTGTTGTATTTGATATATAGTAAAAGACTTTATATATTCGGCTGACAAATTTGCTTCACAGCGAGCCCCTGTCAAGATATATTTCGAGTCGTCCCCGAGTTCATCTATGAACTGGTTTAATAACCGGTCTGGATTAGATGGAGGAGAGTGGACCAGAATAATACAAAACATGGCTCTCAAAGCCGATCCTACCATCCAACAGGATGCCTCCTGGATAGCGGAATGGTAATGCTCGTCTGAAGCTAAGAGGCCCAGAGCCTCAGCGGCTGAACGAAACGAATCATGAATTCGACCATGCACAGTTCGTAGGTCTTGGTATCCCGTAGGGCCAGGTCTATTCGCAAGTAGTAAGCGAAGGAAATACCTGTCTCCTTCTGAGATCGCGGCGAAAAATATCCGACCGACGGCGTCTGATGTCCTTACTCGAGGTTGCCATCTCTTGTCATCGGTCCACCAGAAAAATTTAGGCAAATCTTGATAAAGACAATCCTTTGCTCTAACCCCAAGGCCAGTTATGTTGGTCTTGCAGAGTTCAAAGAACTCTGTGAGGGTGGTGCGTTCTGCTTTACCCGATTCAAAGTGCTTTTTGACCAGGGCGCTGTCCAGGTAATACACACGCTGTTGTTTTTCTAAATGCAGGGATAATCTTTGAACCAAAGGTGATCGGCCATTCATCGGGAATTGAAATAGGCGGTATGCAGCTGAAGAAGCATTTGGTATGAGTTTATGACGCGAAGCAACTTGATTAACAAAACATACCTTCTGAAGGCCCAATGTATCGACCTTCAATGAATCGTTGAACTTCATCGCCGTCAGTCAGCTTCATTGAGGATCGATCGACTCCTTTACAGATGTATTTGAATAAGTATTTCATGGCCCGAATTGTAAATGGAATCTCAACGTTTATATGGCAGTTGTACCGGAGTAGAAGAAATTTGTTATATGGGACGACATGGCCATTGTTAAATTCCATACCCATTTTTCGGACAGTTCGACCAGAGTCTCTTCGTCGATAATCAGGGTAAGAGTCTTCTGTTATTTCAGTCTCCGGACGAAAGGGCTTAGGATAGCCATACTTGCAGTATCCATCTTTCCAGCAGTTAGATTTGACCCCACAAGGGCCATGTAACATGTTTCTTACAACGATGTCGTATAAATCGGGTTCTTCCACTGGACAAGGTATTTCTGCTGAAATAAGTGTATCGACGGCAGAAATTGTCCTCGGTACATCAGAGTTGTGCAGCATAACCATGATGTGAGCATGAGGAAGACCACGTTTTTGAAATTCTACCGTATAAACAATGGCTTGAACTCTGCCAAGAAAGGAGAATTTGACCAGGTCGTCAAGTAGAGCCATTAATTTGGAATGGAATGCACGAGCGATTAAATCTGCTCGATCGCTCGGACTGTGATGCGAGGCTAAGGCCTCAGTCATTTCAGGCCACTTGGGATTCGCGGTCATGGTGATGAATAGCGCAGGTCGTCCAAATTCCCTCGACAGGGCCATTGCGTCCTGGTACAGCTGAGTCATATTTCTAGGTGATCCAGCAAAGGTCGAAGGAAGTATGACTCGGCGGCCCTCGAGATCGGCCTCATTTTGAAGTGCTTCTTCCACAGCCTTATAGAGGTCTGCCTTCAACTTCTTCTGGTTATGACGAATGAAGTCTAATCTAGATCGCTCGACGCATACATACATATCGACTAACAGTTCTTGATACAAAGATTTACCGTATACTATGGCCGAAAACTTCCCAATCTTGTCGAAGCACATCGATGCATACCATTCATCTTGCGTGATTTTACGACCTGATCAGGATTTAGGGGAATGAATTTACCGATACCAATTCAATAGAGATGAAGGAGCGTACCTGTGATCCGTTCAGAAACATAGTCTGCAACCCATCCTTGTTCGCCAAAGGGAAAAAAAATGGGGAATCGAAGTGCCAGGTATCCCGGGAACAAGTCGGTCACATGCGTGATTCCACCATCAACTTTATGAAGCACAATATCCTGCGGCCCAATCTGTTCTTCATCGTAAGTCTCGAGTACAATAGCCACCTCATCTACCCGAGGTTGATTGTAAGTGTTTTGGTTTTGGTTAGGATTGTGCAACGCTTTAAGAACAAAAGTTGCCGCTGGATTGATGGCGAGCTCCTGCCTGACACTTCTGTAGAATTTGGCGTATGAGTTGTGCTGGGTGAGAAATTGTTGAAGTTCTAGGAGTAATTTTGAATCTACAGGGGCTCCGCATTTATGCTTCCGCATGGCTGCTTCTTTTTCATCATTCCCTCCTATTACATAAATTTGGGCAAATTTAGACTCATCTTTGGATGTAGGAGTCTGTTCTGGGAGATTATGAAATAAAGCTCCGGATATCTTGAATGTGTAAATTCCTTTTTGACCCTGAACACTGTCGTCAACCGAAGCACCGAGAGAGGCGAAAGATAACGCATTGTTATAATTTCTGATCTGTCGTTGGAATTTCAAAGATACTACGTGTTATGTGTCAGCTGAGTCCTGGTCAGAGACTTAAAAAAGTCAATTGTACATACCAGGATCATTATTGAGAAGCAGGTTTCGCAGGATGGTTGGATAGTTGTCGCCACTGTATGTGGCAGGAATTGAAACCTGACCCTTTTGGCAACACATGGAATAAGAAACTCTAGGCGCCTTTTTATCGTTGCCTGTTCTTTCAGTTTTCCAGTGAATTGCGCCACAGCTGAGGCACGGGTCAGAGTATGGGCCCATGGAGTGAGGAAACATTCCTGGGAATGAAAGCTTGAGGTGAGATTCATGATTCTGAGCTGGACTTTTAGCGGCTGGACCTGAACTGAGTGACATGTAGTTGAGCTAATTGTCGATTCAAAGGACGCGAGTCTGAGAAGATGAGGGATTGGGTGAGAAGTTGAAATGGAAAGGAAGAGGTCTGTACTGCCTTGAAGGATATAGGATCAATAGAAGATTTGTTATGTGAAGAATTTAGTTCCGAACATGGGTGATGATGTCCTGGGAACATTTGAATTAGGCTCATAGATTGCCTCAAACAATGCGGAAGGTGCATACGTATCAGTTAAACATGATTGCCTAATCCAGGACTATTCTTTTGGAGACCAGGTCGCGGATCAAGCAATATGTAACGCCAGCGATGTGATCCGTTTGAGGAAGGAGTATGAACAGTCAAAAGCCCAGGGGATCGCCCATTTCTTTTGTTGCGTTAGCAAAAGACCTTGGTTGACGCAAGAAACCTCATGTATACGGATAGATGAGGAAGTGTAGATTGGGAGTTGCGTCGCGGAGCGGAAGAGGCAAAGTCTTAGTTCTCAAAAAGTAATGACTTCAACCAGTGAGAGGCTAACGTCATATCATAAGAAATAACAGTGTAAGCATTGCAGCTGCTTCGGAATAGGAAATATTGAGGTGATTAGAATAGGAAATTTGTGGCAGTTGGCTTGTTGAACGCTGGAAACGGGAAATATTTGAGATAGGAAATTATAGTCGAGAATCTAGAAGCGAGTGGTAAACATAGAAAAGATGAACGCTGACTTTGGCCTTAATTTAGACAAAGACCGTGATTTTGTTTTGAGTATTGCTATAGATCACGTTAAAGCGAATAATGCAAAGTCAGGTCGTTATAGACTCAGCTAGCCATGTAAAACAATAAGAAATACGATATGGGTTCTGCTATGCTATCCACGTGTCAGTGCCAAACGTAAATCACTGGCAGAGATGAGTTCTATCTCAGAATAGTATTGATCTAAGGACAGAGGACAGTACCATAACACAATACTGAATTGTTATACGGATCATCACATTATAGATATTCAGGAAAAGACACACGAAACGTGCCTAGAATCGGCGCAACCATTTACGATAATTCAATCTGAAGTTGTTAAAATACCAATGACAGTACAGTCAAAACTGAAAACAAGGTCTATACAATGGGATGTTCCGAGAAAGATTTTCTGAAAGAAATGTTTATATCTTTTGATTTCACGGACAACAACGGGATAAGACTACACGCAGATTAAGAGGTTAATAACTGAGGCAAACAAAATTGGAATGATGAAAAATTGTCTATGTCAATTGTATTGAAGAAGCAAGGTGGACGAGAGGGTCATCCAAAGATGAGTCGATGTGAGGTTCAGCTTCGACCTACCCAACATACGGAGTAGCTGTGCTGAGGTTTTTCTTTGCGCGCTTCGCGTCAGCTAGAATTTCTTTTTTAGTTCTTTTCTTGCCGCTAGTTGAAACAATGCTATCGTAATAGTTGCCAGATTCTGGGGCATCTGGTGTATTAGATTGTACTTCCGCCTCTTGAGAGACGGTATTTGGAGGAGTGAGCAGTCCAGGATTAGGAATGGACTGAGTCTGCGGTTCAATGTGAGCGGGTTCTGGTTGATCCTCAATTGAGATTCTAAGCGAAGAATAATATGAGAATGGAACTTATTTCTGGAATTAGAATGGTCGAGTACTTACAAACCTGGCCGACGAGAAACCAACTCAGGCTTTTGAGTTGAGCGAGAACTTTGTGTAGTAGTTGACTGTGAGCCTGAAGTAATTGATATTGAAATAGCCTAACAATGCTCAGATTAGTCAAGTGTCGCGTTCAGGCATAACAAGTCTAGGAGAGTACGAACATTAACAATCCACATGAATTGGTCTTCAGAATAGCCAACAATGTTGCCAGAAATCAGTACTTCTCTGCCAAGTTGGAACAGTCCAAAAGTGTTGGCAAAATTTTTGCGGCCCCCAACGTGATATAGAGATTTGAACTGGACTTGGGATTTGGTCTAAATGAAGGGAATAAGTAGAAATTGAGTTTGAATAGGAACAAGAGGGAGACAAACCACGGGATCATAGTGTGTATGTTGCAAAATGACGTGTAGAGTTTTTGAAGCACAATCTCCGTCACTGTCAATGACCTCCTTTTTGGAAACTACTACATCAAGACCAAGTACGGAGGGTTTGTCACACATCGATTGTGAGAACTGCGCAGTCTCACCGAGATTGATGATTGTATCAGAATCATAATGGAAGACGGGGGTAGTCTTGATGTTCCGGGGAATAAATTTTCCTGAAACCAAATATACATGGTTTTCAATCAGTGCAGTGATAGCAGAGCCATATCCACAGAGTTTAACAAGAATATTCTTTTCCTGTTGAGTCTGAGGGTCAGTGAAAGCGACTGAAGTTGAGTAAAAGAGTTGACCGTAAGTAGAGCCAGGATTGATTTTTTGCTCAAGCTATACATGATGACAGTAAGAAAGAGGTGACAATTGTAAGTATAACCTCAAGCAGAGGGGGATAAGAATTGGCTTACCTGCTCGAAGATGTCGGAAATGCTACGACCGAGCATAGGATGACTGAGTTTTTTTTGAGTGGCCATGCCAAGGAAACGAAAATTTTCCAGTTGAATGGGTTTGTTCTGAAAATGTTAAGGATGAGTGCGAAGGAAAAGAGTTTGTGACACAGAAAGAGACGTGTCGGGAAGAGAAGATGAGAGTGAAAAGCAGAGACTGAGCCTTGGAGTGAAATTTGTAAGTTTCCCTAAGCTTCGCCGAGCCGAGTGCAAGAGCATGGTTGTTTGCTGAATTGATAAGATGAAACGGGAAACTGGAATAGGCAACAGGCGATTAGAACCGGGTTTGTAACACAAAGGATGATGTCATTCCTGAGAAGGACTTATTTGATTGCTTCGCATCAGGCATTTTACAACGGAAGTTTAATCGGTGCAAGACAAAGAGATGATAATTCAATTGAGGAAGGACATGGCAGGTCAAGGCAGAAAGGCAAATACAGTGCTATGAAAAGCAGTCTAGGGGCTCGTCAACCGTAATCGATATTCGGCAAATAAACCGGTAACCGGAATTGGGAGAAGTAGAAGAAGTCATTTGACCAAACAAATGTTGAAGTCGAGAGAAAAGAAGAAAGAACTGAATTAAAAAATGGTAAGTGAGAAGGCGTGAGATAGCTTGAATAGGGCTGCCCTGAATGTTTACGTGAGTTACGACATATTTAGTGGAGCAACAATCTGTTATTGGAAAATGGTGAAGAGTCCTCGCTGAGCTGAAAACATGCAAGGAGGGAATATGAACTGGGTGGCCCCTGCCGTCTTCAGGATACATGATAGTTCAACGGTAGGGAAGGGTTCAAATGCTATTGAATCGACGGTAATAACCGAGGGTAAGGGCGAAGCCTGAGGTAGTCTATCAAGAGTGCATAAGCAGCGTGGATGTGAATGTGAAGAAAGAATGCCAGGGGGTAAATATGTGAGTCAAGAGGTGAAGCGATTTTTAGTAGAGAGTAGGACAGGGCAACAAAGTATTGTAGGGCAGGTATCGAACAATGCGATGTTCAACTGATTGTGAGGTTGTTGACATAAATGAATGCAGGGGTTACATGAGGAGAGGTTAAATAAAGAGTGAGTCTCTTGTTGAGAATGAATGAGTACTTCTGAAAAAACTTCAACATTACTCGTTTTTTTATTTACAACAAGAGCTATTCTACAATCATGAAAGTTGAAGGCTGCGAAAAAATTTGGTCTTCTTTCTCGCTCAGAAATTCCGGCGTCCTTGTATTTTGTGTTAACGAGACGAGACGAGAAAAAGGTTATTCTCAACGAGAGATCATATCACCTCGGTACGATTTAGTCCTGAACAGGAGAGACGATCAAGTTTTGGAAATAATCGGTCCAAAGTGGTTGTCGTTTAGAGGAAGAGTAATGGCCGACGTCGTTGACGAAGCATGGCAAATCGAGGTAGAGGAGTTGGAATTGTCGGACTCACCCCCACGAGGATTTCACTTTGCCTCAGTTCACGGGCCGATCATCAGTGGTTATGGCTTAGTAGCGGTGAAAGATCCATTGGTGATTGAGTTAAGAGATAACAATAGCGAAGTGAGTTCAACAACCTCAAGCTGTGACATTTCCGAAGCTGATTAGAGACCCTGGTCAGAAACTTTCAATCGCGACTCATGTTAAGGTTGTGGGATTTCATGTAAATCGATATCAAACTCTGGATTACATTTCACAAGGGGACCCAGTATATTTTAATGGTCGATGGGTGGTTGGATTGGAAAACAAAGGATGCCTAGAAATTGATGTAAGTATCTAGATGATTAGTTGATTAATGGAATGTTAGGTCCAAAACTGAAGTTCAACATATATGCGCGAGTTATAGTCGAGGATAGGAGCAAGTTCAATGATGAATCTGAAGACGGGAATGTGTTTAAGTGAAGGGTGAAATTCCTACATAGTTAATTGGTGAGAAAAAGTAAACTGATGATAATTGAGAATTGTTTAGCTGAGGTAAAGGGGAAAGGAGATGTGATGAAGAGGTGACAGTGGAGAGAAAGCGGTTTGGTGGACGAAACAACAGTTAAACAGGAGAAAATCTATTGGTAACGATTTGGCGAGTAGAGCCAGCTTATGCTACGAGTAGAAAAGGCACGAATAGTCCTTTAGAAATTGAATTACCCCGTTCAAAAAATGTACAGAGAAAGAACCTAGATCAGGAAAAGAAGAATGCACTCAGTTTGTGGACAGGTGTGGACTTAGAAGAGGTGAAAGCGTACCTGAACGTCAATAATTCCACCTTTGTGGGCAAGTAAATATCCGGAAATGTGAACAATGGTTCCAGGGTTGGTGGAGGCAATTTCACGGCTAAGGGTCTCGCAATTGGCCGAGAACCTGAATAGGCAAGACTGTAGAGAAAGTTTAACGTGGTGAAATTGAAGAATAACATTAATAGTGGACTAACGTCGGGAACATCAGGGTCAATCGCCAAGGTTTTGGTTCCATGGTCAATGAGTTTCAAGTCGCCAGTGAGCAATGGATGTGGAAGAGATCGAACTCGAGGTGGGAGTACCGAGTGATATGATGAGGATTGGCACATGATAGTAATATTGTCACGGGAATAGGTTGCAATGGCGCGACCTTCAAATATTAGCCAGGAAGCAGCGTCAGGGCTGTTGCCACGGGGAGCTGGAGTAAAGATGTCAAAAAGATGACCGAGGATAGGGGTAGGATCATCGTCTTGTAAAGACCATAAATTGGAGTCTTGAATTCGATAGTTATGATTAAGTGTAGTGGGAGGTTCTTCAGAAACAAAAGTGCAACTTTTTATCTCGATCATTTTGACGCGGAAGAGGATAAAGTGATGGAGGCGATGTATGGAAAGATGAGAGCTTTTATGTATCCAGCTCATCGGCCCGAAGTCAAGGAGTGCGGGCTGGCATCAGAGAGGAACTGCTCCAGTTTGAATGTGACGAAAAAGGAATTTTTTGCGAAACAGGTCAAACAGAGGAGAATTCTGAGGGGAGTAGAACAGTGAGTGAAGTAGAGTACTGTGCTCGAAGAATGCAAAAGGAAATGAAATAAGGTAATAATGACAAAAGAAAGAATTTTAACAGTCCCGGAAATTCGGAGGAAGAAGCTCACACAAGTTGAGAATTAATGTGGAAGAAATAATGAGATGTGGTGAGGAATGGAGGTACTGAAGAAGGCAAGTTAGTTGAGGTGGCTGGGTGCGAATCGTTTTGAATATGATAATACAAGTAAGGACCAGATTCGGGATGTGGGATATAAAAAGATAAAACGGGCTAAATAGCCAGGACTTGGATAAGTTACAAAGAACAGGAATAGGTAATTCGGGTTTGAATGGGTAAAAGTTTGTATTTTAGTCATGTTTTCGAATAGGATAATACAAGTGGGCATCCAGATTCAGGATGTGTTATGTCAAAAGTTAAAATGAGCTAAATACCAGGACTGGCGTGATGGACGATGAACAGGAATAGGTAATTCGGTTTTGAATGAGTATAATTTTGTATTTTATTCATGGATGTTTTAATATGTCCGAAGACAGATAGAATGGCTAGGTCTAGTTACATGTTTGGTTTAACAAGAATATAAGATAGGAAAAGGTAGACTTGGTGCGTGACTAAGTGGTTATAGGGAAGTGGTTTGGGAACTGGTAAATTACGGATAAGGACAAGGGTGAGGTTAATTGAGAGGGGCACTGTAACTGAGATCTTGGACCTAGGGAAAGGTTGTAGGGAGAGTCAGTAGTTGAGATTGATTTAAGGTGAAGGTTAGTTAAACAGCTTACGCGAACGTGGATGAATTTAGATTCAGATCTAACGATGGTCCCTTTGATCCAGATTCGGGAAGCAATTTGCAACTCAGGGTTGAGACGTTGAAGAAGTGCGTCTTCAATGGACAAGACAAAATCTTTGGACTGAAACAAATCAAGGGTCAGGATCAAATAGTCAAAACAGATAATAGGAGGCGAACAGAAAGACATACGTTGATGTTGGTGGGATTGTGGGCGCGAAGTTCTGGAAATATGGAGTGGACCTTTATCCAGCCGGAGATTTGGACAAGGTTAATAGGTTGTGGAGGTGGAGGCATAGGGAGTGGTCCTTGATAAGATTTAGGATTTCGATTTGGGAGATATAGAGTAAAGGATTTGTGGAGGAAGTGGATGAATTTAGAAAAATTGGGTATAGCCTGGGATGTGAAAATTTAACCAAGATGAGGTATAGTCTGAAATGGTTGACGGTTGAGGAGGAGCAAAGCGGTGAGCAAGGGATGCATACGGGCATAGGGATGGGTTGAGGTGGTATCAAGAGCTGGCAGGGGAGGGGAAGTCATCAGTTGAGCACAAGGACCGATTATATGAAATTTTAGAGCTGAGGAGGCGGCGATTCAGTTCTGAGAGAGAGGGCGAT